CGGAATTCGAACGGCGTATCTCACTCGAATGCTAGGATCTCCTTTCCTTCATCTCATAGATAGGCATTCCTAATTCGTACATTGAGTCTCAATAGAATATTATATAACCGAACATGTTGAAATTTGACACATTGAGAGAATCTGGGATTTGGGGAAGGAATGGGGGGGGGCATGACGGGACGCACTCAATAGTATTGATATGACTTGAAAATTCTCACTACGCTTTATTTAAATGCTTTGGAACATACATCGCTAAACCTGAAATACGAAGACGTGAAAGTTGCACGGATACGAGCTAGTTACAAAAAGGCACAAAGGATGTGCCTTTTCAAAATAAATTTTTCCAATCCACCGCAGGAAAGGAAGGGGATGGAACTTTCACGAAAAATCGGAGATTCGCTCTCGTCTCGCCATCTCCTAGAAGGACGAGGAGACGAGAGTTGCCACTATAATGGCAAGGGAACGGTGGCATCGCTCGCCGTGATGATTCCCACCTGCTGCGGGAAATCCAGGGATTTTAAGCGTCCATTATGGAATTGGGGTGATATCTTCTTCAACGTCATTCGCATTCTTCGCTCTATTCACTGATCGGGTGCCAAAGATAATTAATCAATAATTAATCAATGAGACCTGCAGGCCTCAAACAGACTAGTAGTTAGCGCATGCAAAAGCACAGGAGTATTTAAAGAGTAGCATTTAAAGCGTAGAATACGCACATTGGCAGTAGGGGGCGGCCGCCACAATCCCATCCGCCTGGGCCTTTGCTCCCCTGCCTCCCTGCCCCCTGGCTGGCCGAGTGAGAAAACGTGACGCTGCAAAAGCAACGCTAATTTTTCGATCTGCCCTACGCTTCGTTTATCGTCATTGCGATGGACGGGGAATCGACGCCCAGTGAAGGCTATGGGTAACCCAAAGTTCAAGGCGTTGCCTTAAATCGCCGCCTAGTAAGACTGACCATAAACCGGAAAAAAACCGCCGGAGTGCGATGAGTGTAGCGTTGTACGTGCAAAGGCTTGCAATTACCGAAGTACGGTGCGACGCACAAGGACAAAGATACCGATACCCTCTCGGTGACTCGATACAACTGAAGATGGCGTTCCCATAGGAACAGTTCAGGCATGCTTGCTGCAATTGAAAACCATACTTGTTGGGCTCATGGCCCTTAGTCACCAATCTCTCCCTATGGGATTTCCCCAGATTTTTCAACCCAACTTACTTCTGCATATCAACTTGCAGGAAAACAATCCCGACACAGAAAGCACAATAGGTTCTTAGAGGAAACAGTGAGCTCTATTGAGTTGTTCCAAGACGTCTTTTAATCATGCTTCAATGCTTCAGTTTAGGCTAATGGCAGAAAAGAGCGATTGGGAACAGATCAAAGCAAAATGCCGCGGTTCGCCTGCAAAGTGATTCATAGAGCTTAAAGTAGCCCTGCTGTGCGCAGTGGCTGAATGTGAAGGAGCAGGTACAAAAGGATTATTGGAGCAGACCTACTAAATACGGAAGCATGTCCTGCCAAGCATGCGCCACACTGGGTGGAAAATAGGTCGACAGTGCGATGCAAGGGCGGCGTAACGTTATCAGCTTCGTAGGTCAAGCGATCTCAACAAAGGTAGGCCTTGAATTTGAGGCCCTCTCCAGAAATTGGAGATGAAGAAACGGGACGACTGCGACGCCGCCGACGTCGTCGTCGATCCAAGATTAAGCGTTCCTGTGCCCTACAGGTGGGATCCATACGTTTTTATCCTCGGGAGTCGCTCATCTTGTGAGGAATAAGAGGATTGAGTTTCGAGATAGAAGAGAGAAGCTCGGGATCCCGATAAATACATGAACGGAGATCTACTACCAGCGAGGAAGTCATCCTCCCTCTAGGACTCCAAGTGTAATAGGCAGGGACGTTTTACACGTCCCTGCGGAAAAGTCCGTATCGTACACCTCATATTATAGAGCGGGAGGTGTGAGTGGAATACCTCTTTCTCCTGTTGTTATTTAACATAGAGAGTTCGTCTTGGAAGTCTTCGGTTCGGAGGTGTAGCGGTTGCACACTCGATCGGTCAATCTGGTAGTCCTAGATTCGATTCCCGTCCCCTCCATTAATTTTCTTCTCGCACTATTACGTCATCCGAACTCTTCCCCCATCCCCCGGGCTATTACGTTCTCGAGAATAAATCCGACGGTCGCAACAGCTGGAAAAAAATGCGAGCTCGAGAGAAGGAGACGTACAACCAGAGGCTGGTAGAAGACTCTCTGAAAAAGGGGAGCGATTTGTCTCAAAAAAGAGGGCAAAATCGCCAACGCCAGTTTCACTCCCGTTTCACTCTGGGGAAAGGAGCGAGTTTGCTCCATCACCAAGGAGTAACATTGCTCTCATCCTCCATAAAAAGGGGAGCGATTTGTCTCAAAAAAGAGGGCAAAATCGCCAACGCCAGTTTCACTCCCGTTTCACTCTGGGGAAAGGAGCAAGTTTTCTCCATCACCAAGAAGTAACATTGCTCTCATCCTCCATGAGTAAAGACGCTCCCCTCAGAGAGAGATAGGGTTGTCATGCAAATACGCAAATCCTCTCGCTTTCGCTCTCTATAATACTGGCATTGACCAACCTTTGACTGTACTGATTACAGTTCATGTCAGAGGATGGACCACCTATTACGGTTTCATGAAGTGTCCGCGATGTCAGTCTTTCATTTCCTCATTCTCTCATCAAGTCGAGGAAGTGATAGGATTGATTTCACGGACGTCCCCTATGTAATCTAGATCTCTGCAGATGAAACCGTGGTGAGTTTCAAAATGTTTCTCATCAGGAACATGTGCTTGTTTATGGCCCGAGCTCAATGAATCTGTCCTGAATAGGTGGATAAAAAATGATGGAAAGTCCGTGTTTATTGATTCCTTTAATGAGACTAGGCGAGACATATGAATATGTCGAGGTACAAAACAATCCTGAGAGGGATGATTCCAGAGAAAGAGGAAGGGAACTTTTGTGTACTGTGTGAAAATCCAGACCATTACCTCCATCTAGTGGCGTGGCGAAGAACTTCGCTTTGTTCATTACGAACGATGAGGGATCATTTGGTGAGTAGTAAGAGTACATTTGAAAAGCTCACAGTGTGGTCACTTTTTGCGCCCTAAGCGCTCGGAATTTTCAAACAGTGCTACACTATACGCTATCGCGCTCAGCGCACACGTCTGTCATATGTGTGAGTGCATGGCACGAACCACCGACCACGACCACCACGGCGGACCACAGTATATATATAGTTCTATTGGCGACATTACCCAAGTTGCGCATAAACGCTTTCGAAGATGTTCAACATGTTATCAAAGAGGTCTTTTGGACATCCAGTGTACCGGAATAAGCACCATTTTGGCGCTCAGTGAAGGTGCCTTTTAATCACGAATCTTTATGCGTCTGAAAGACATTCGTCGAACGTCGAACGTTTATTTCTTATATTTTCCCTACGCATATCATTAGTATCCATCTGACATCGGGTGCAATAAAAAAGAGTCGTGCAGACGAAGATAGAGGGAGACGAAGTAGTCGCTTTAACGGGTCAACTCCTGAAACAACTGGAATTAATCCCCAATACTTTCCACAAGGTAGCTGATCCTTCTCCGCATAAACCGGAGAGGAATATACTCGAAATCTTGAACAAGTCGGTCTTTTCTCCATTGGGTCAGGTTCCTCAGAGGTCTTTTGAGGCGGACCGTTCTACCGATCCTACCAAGTTAAAGGTACCTTTCAAGGCTACAGTAACTTTTCTTTTATATTTGCCTCTTCTACTATTACGTAATACTCATCCCTATTAAATATGAATTTTCTGAAGGACGTGCGTGACTACGCTGAATATTTCCGTATTATGACTTAATTAACACGTTCGGGTGCTACTGTGGTAGTAGTATCAGAAGATCATGGTGAAACTTTCTACGACAACACAGATTTTCGTTTCCTCATGTTTACCACTAGCAATTGATCAATTCACATCTAAGGACCTCAATTGGACCTAGGAGGTTAAAAGAAAAGCGAGCGCGATCCTGGCCGATTGATAGGCCGAACGACAATTGTGTGTCTTTTGTATGTGTGACAGTTCTGCAGGACACAGGCTTCGAGATATGAACTTGTGTGTTAAACAGAACTCTTCCTTATTATCCGAAGATGAGTTTTAGAGAAATGAAATTTACAAATCGACCTCACGATAGAGAAGGGAAAGCCACTTTCATGGCCAAAATTTGAGATTTGGCCTCGTCTCGCAATTTTCTAGTATAGACGAGATGAGAGTTCCCATCGTACTCAAAAAGGGAACGATAGCATCCTTCAATGTAGTGCCTCCTGCCAGCTGCAGGGAATTTCATTTCAATTTCATTTTAATTGTCCGTGATGAAATATTGGCGAATCATTAGTTGGTAGGGCTCCGCAAAAAAGTTCATTACTGTAGTTTCCTGGAGTGGTCTATCTATTATTATTGCAGAAAAAATAATATTCTTTGGTCAATCCGACTTCATATTTGAAAGGGTTAATGATCGATGCAAGGAAGTCGACGAACGCGAGAGTTATTCAAAGGCTGTTCTTCCCCCTCATCGAAATCGGATTCATAGATGGGAAAAAAATTAAAGGGATATTTGGGAGACGGGAGCTTATAGGAAAAAAGGTGATTTGCGTATCGTGAGTGTGGTATTTGAAGCATATTCCTTGTCCTCCTTCATTCGTATGAGCGGAAGTACGAAGCGGGCCATTGAGAGATCGGTGATTGAATCTCTCCCACATTATGCTAGTTCTTTTCCGTGGTTGAAGTCTGGCGTCTGTTCGTGAACATTGAGAAGGTGTGCTGCGGGTCAAATGACATAATATTTGGATATTTCTCATGAATTTCTATATTCATGCATTGGATATGACCGATTCGTTAATGAAAATGTAATTTTCGTGAACTTCCATCCAAAACGTAAAGCCTTGTGACGAAAGAAAATCTTTCATTGCTTGACACCCCTCCTCATTCAACCAGAAATCAACTTCGATTACCTGTAACATAAAACATAAAACATGATTACGCACATTATCATAATATTCAAACCAACTCTGACAGCTGTGATAGCTATTCATGTGCTCCACTTGTTTTCGTGCAAAACCAATATTGCTGAAAGCTTGATGGTGACAAATGACAGGTGAACAAATATGTGCTTTCAAAAACTAGTATCTCAGTATAGCAGATTAATAGGTAGTAAAAAAAACTGCCAACACATTTTCGCTATTAAGGATATTACATTTTATCAGATTCATTATCTTTCTTAAACGATGCATGTGGATAGAGAAAAGAAGGTATGTGGCAAATTTAAAGAAAATTGAAGCCCTGTATCACGTTTTATGCTTTTTCAACCTTGATATGTAATAAAGTGTGCCTCACAGGCTGAAAAAAAACCTTCCAATTGGTTTTCTTTTATAGAAATGATACTAAATTTCATCCGATTGGCCCAATATTTCAAAATTTTCTTGCAGATACATCAAAGAATTCGACTAATTTCTTTTAAAAAGCAATGAATAACTAATTACTCGGCCTATTAGAGGATGCAGAGTAAAGGGCTATATTAGTCCAATGGCCACAATCCTCAAGTTACCCTAAATGCTGAAACCCTAAATGCCCAAATGCTGAAACCTGCTCTATTAAACGGTGCTTTAGGAATACATGGATTTCAATGGGAAAAAATAGCTCTTTTGCTTAAATGGCCATTTTATCTCAAATAAATTATGTATGTGCATTCGGACCTTAGTACTTCAACATGTAAAAATAATTCCCAACTGCATATTTGCTTGCTTCTGGAAATGGTTTATTTCAAACTAATTCCGGATCTTCTTGAGAAGAAATTTGACATAAAGGGGCTACTGACCAAGTGATATAAAAACCATCGTGTGGTTCCATTTCAAATCAGGTATTTTACTTTTTAATTTTTTCTGGGAAAAATGATTTTTCACACGCTACTTAATTGGATATTAAATCACATTAGCGAATTCAGCACAAAATTAAATTATTCTTTTGCATGCTGCACTCATACGGCAATGATTCTGTGACCACTGTTTTCCTAAAATCGGCATAAAGCTTTCATGTTTAAAAATCAAAAGCTATGTAATAAGTCAAAAAGGAGGACATTCTTATGCAATGCAGTATCTCGGTCCTTTTTGTGTCGACGAGGAAAAAATGAAAGAAATGAAGGAAGGTTCTGCTGAAAAAAGAGGTTTCTTTTTCGCACAATTTTGGAAAAATGGCAAAAGTTGTCAATTAATATGAAATTAGGCATACATGCTATCAGTCCCAAATGACATTAAGAGATGCATGACTGAATGTATTATTTGGGTGTATGTAATTTGCGGAAATGTACTTGATTCAATATGTGATGAAGATTCAACTGACAATTTGAAAAAGCCAAATACTGTGAAATTCTGCAATTTCGCTTATTTTGAACATTGAACATGTTAATTTTTTTTATAAACAAGTAAAAGGATGGGCTCATTCCATATGTGCACAGAACGAACTTTCAAGTAAGGGCGAAATAAATTTTTAGAAATTTACTTATATTAGTATGGAAGATACAACAAATTGAAACTTGAGGTGAACAGAGATTAGGCAAGTTACCCTTTTCACAGCCGTGAGAGTCTTTTTAGAATTTTCTTAAATCCAATAGTATTGAAGATACTTAGGTGAATACGCTACCGTATTTCCTCACTTGGATGAGCGAACGACATATCCTATTTTTAAAATTGAAGAATAAAACCCCGACGGGCCCTGCCTGATGCAAAATAGGACCATGCAATACCAGACTTAGGTCAAAAATGGGAGTCAAATAGAAAGGAACACAATTTCACGAACCATCCACTCGAGGTTAGCGTATTTTCCGGTACCAACTTTCCTAACTTTTGGATACATTTAATGTTTATTTCGCAAGAATACAATGGTATTGAGCGAATTCAATTACATTAAATGAGCCGCCGTTGAGCTCTACACTATTTATTATCATTATCATTTCAGATGAATTTTGTGCCCAGAGTTCCTACGAGGAATCCGTATGATTTATCATCACTACAATAATGAAAAGTTGCTCACTGACGAAATTGATTTGCCTAATTTTTCCTAATTGTGTCCGAAAATAAATGAGTAGGGTCTTTGGACTGGAAGAACATATTTTTCTTCCACTAAGGATATACATTTCTTAAAATTTGGAAGTAACAAGTCACTCAATCACTGCTGGCTAATGATAAGTACCTGAAATTGTATCCGATGGAATGGTATCGTTTTAAGTACTTTCGGCTCGATGGTCTCAACATCGAGACTGAAGAAATGGACAGTTTTCACACCGATGTCATCAAGGAGCGTATGCAGTGGATAGCACATAACAGATGCCTTATGGTGTTCGGCTCCAGAAAATCCAGTCTCCATCAATTCAACCCCTTTTTGAATTATCTTGCGAAACAGTCCTTGCTTGGCGATTCCACCTGTTATGCCGACAATGGGATTCCCCTCTTGATACATGTACTCCATGACTTCCTGGAATGAATATAATGTCACAGATGAATTCATGATTTGATTTTAATAGCTTTGATGTTCGTCTTCTCTTTTCCTTAAAATAGACAGTATGCGTCGCGGATACAAACAACAACGGACTTATTACGATGCGCCGAAAAATAGGCGCTCCCGCTTGGTACAGGCACAACATCTAAATCGCAGTTCCTCATGCTGGGACACTTTCGACGGTCCTATAGGAGGCCAAAGGGACACCTTTTGGATTGTGTGAGGGCATGACTACCACGAATGTTACTTAAAGTGTATTGCATCCGAATCTTTGGCTTCCGAAGTTGGGCAATGCATGGTGCCACTTTCCTTGAGCATGCATTTACTAGCGAAAAAGACCACTTTAATTGGGCAAAAATGACCTCTTTCAATATTTAGTGAAGCCACCTTTAACTTTTAACACTGCAGTTAATATTTATGTTTCTCTTTAGATCCGCACAAACTTCTTTCTGTTTGTACTTGTTGTCGATTGATAAATTTAGGGTCAGCTTCGTACTCTCCAAGCTGTCGTTTTTCAAGGGTCCCCATTAGCGTACGACAGGGATAAGGTTAGGAAACTGTGTAGACCAAAACAGGATCTTCACCCTGATGCCATAGAAAAGTTGCCCAGCTTTGCGAGACGTGTGGTTGGGGTTATTCCCTTGTTGGAATATGGATCCATCCTACTTTTTACTTGTCTGAAAAGTAATTCATAATACATTTTTAGTCGTGGTTGGTACTGAGATTCCTTCATGCGAATTTTTATAACAAATTGGTTTAATAACAATTTTGCATTGTATATATAAAATTAGGCACCTCACATATGTTTATCCAAACAGTGCCAAAGAATTGCCGCTTATGCAAATGTTCCGGACTTTCCTTCGGTAAACTCCAAACATGCATTTTATATTTCCAGGAATAATGGTGAGAGGAATAAAACTTACATGCGTGATCTCATCCTTTGGAGAAAGACAATAAGGAGCTAACCAAGCATTTCTTCCTAACTCTGACAGTTTCTTGAAAAGATGTGGGTTTGGCTCAACGAGGAGTCCAGTCCAGCCGTACTTTTTCTCCAAATAAAGAGTCTTAGAAAGTGTTTGCCCATCTAGGGCTCCTGCTTCCACGAAGAACTTCCCGTGACGATCCTATGAAGAACAATCAATAATGATTTGTATGTTTCTTCTTAAAAGGGAAATCAGTGATGGATATGGTGCTGGTTTTGTAAAAATCAGTTTGCACCTACACCTCAATTACAGGTAGATGGCAATCTATGATGGGAGAGCGGTAATACCATTTACGTCCACCTCAGTAATAATATTGCGTAAACATCGCGGAATGTGATGAATATACTAAGGGCAATTATTTTAAATCTAGAATGCCATCGATTCCGTCGGTGCTGGTTAATATTCATATCAAATGAACTTTCTTCTGGTGATGATTTAATACGACGCTGAACCATGCCAAACCATGCTCTGAAGCTGCCTCCTAGATGGGATATGATCCTATGTAGCTCTCCACCTGAAAATGGATTATTTCGAGATATGCAGTGACATAACGAGGAGTTGGCACCGATTTATTGACGGAAGATGATTCAAGCGGAGGGTCGACGAAATCAAATTCCTTTCCACAAATTATTGACTGTTTAGGTCGAAAGAATTCGTGGCAATGAGGATATTGATATTGTACGCCAAATATGCCCTTGGAATAAAAGAGAACTCTCGGAAAAGCCTCTGAATGGCTATGGAGCTCTCTATTCCACCTACTCCCACGCTACAGCTCTCCGGCTGTAGTGGTACATAGAACCCTATTCGATTCACGCGATTGAGGGGAAAGAACACGTCCGAGACCTGGCTAAAGGCCTGTGTTGGTTTTTTTCTATGTGCAAGCTTGAATTCAAATGCCTTTTCCCCTCTGGAAACATGAGAGTGTGATTGAGACATGCGCTCTGACCCTTTTTACAAATGATACCGTAGCAAAGTCCGAACGCAATCGAGTCCCACAAATCCATTGAACAGAGGCTTACCTAGTTTGATGTTACTGTCACAAGTGGCGAGTCTCTTGTGCCTTTTGAACACACTTATGCTAGGAAATCATTCTCACCGATTCTGGGAAAAGTTCTGCAATGATGTTTTGCGTTGATTTCCAATCGCTTGGATCTTCCACATACTCGCTCTGCATCCTTTGCGAGACTTGAGGAGGAGGGATAACTTTAGGAGACTCATATCCATCCCGTCCATGGATATAGACCGATTTATCGTTTTTCTTGCTCGCATTACTTCCATTCACATTACGGGCAGAGTTTCTGGAGTACTTGCGGCCTTTAAATGACGCCCTTGAGCGAATTGTCGAAATGACAACTCCTAATAGTAGAATTAATGATATGCCCCTGAGAGTTTTGGATAATATGGAATGGGTTTGATTGGCCATGATTTTCCTAAATATGAGACAAAAAAAACAAAGTCCATTAAATGAGAACATATGGCCCTTATTTAGCGAGAAAAATGATAATGTAAGAAATTTAAGACAGTTGCATACTGTTCCACGCATGAAAAGCAAAACAAATTTGATGGGATTGTTTAATAACAAATAATTCGCCTTTGGGGCACAAAAACCCATTTTATTTTAAATTGCAAATTAGCAATCTTTAAAATTATTATAGGCAATATTCTCCCAATGTAAAAAAAATAACTTTCTCTTGACATCTTTGTTGAAGCTCAGTGTTCATAACATTCACTTAATAATATTCTGTACGCTGTATACTTATGGGTCTTTTACATGGAGGGGAAAGTGCAGACTTCGGTTGCATATACAGTTTAACTGTTCGATCAAGTGATATATATATATAGCACTTGATCGAACAAGTGATATATGTGCTAAAAAAAGACACAATTACGTGACGCCAATAGTATGACATCAGAACGAAGTCTGGATCCTATAAGGATAAAAACCGGATTTTTTCGGGGACTTGGAGTTCTTATAGGATCCCATAAGATTCTGTAAGACTACCTATGACAGATAATATCGGCTTTCTCCTGAAGGCCGAGCTCATCTGTCATACATAGGCGATCATTACATAGTCGATCTTACTTCTTCTCCGGGCCTCCTTATGTCTACGTGGTAAGAGTTAATGTAGGGTGTGCAATGGTTTAAAAATGGGTGTGCATGCATTTGAAGGCACTTTTTCACCTGTGCGTGATCATTCCCTTCCGAAGAGACTCGCATTGCACTGTTGAGGTTTGCAGGCTCTCCTTACCATCAGGTGCGTGCATGTGGGCACCGTCGGGGTATGCATTCGTTTTTTTCTAATTCAAAGTCTGGAATCATTCTCACTTCGTTTTGCTCACCCCTGCCGGAGTGATTACAACCTTGGGCCTCACCCATGGGGGTTCTCCGGCTCAACTTCGAAAGCATGGTAGGATTAACGATTCAAGAACCCCGAGGCAGAACATGCAACACCCTTGGCCCGTTCTCGCCCTTCTTCGAAATCCAGAGACTTCGTTTAAACAAGGTTCCCCTGGGCCCGTGCATTATTCGTATATTCAGTAATCTAATAAGAATAATAATCTTGTGTCCAGAACATGAAGAAATTTGAAGTTAAGCACACCATAAATAATCCGGGTTATTGTTTTTATGGAAATATTGGTTCGTTCCCGCTCGGCACACATTTCGACAGGCACATACTTCTAATTCGTTTTTGCCACTTTGAAAATAGATTAATAAATGAATTACTAACCCGGACAATGGAGCGCCGAAGGTGCGGCCATATTCAAATAGCATTGGCCTAAGCATCTGTAAGTTGATAGACATAGTCACTCCAAATCGAAATCTCGATGGAAAATCATCCTACCGTTTTCCTGCTAGAAAAATATACATAACTCATTCGCATCTGTAAACGTACCAGTAAGCATCAACTCTAGTCCTTCCCTTCCTCTATGACCCAACGGCATAGATGGAAGGCCTCGCGCCTCGGGCAAAGACTGTAGGATTCTCGATCATATGGGCCAATAAGTTCCTCGATGCGGATGAGTCAGTCAAGATTCGTGTAGGCCTCTGTGCCTATCCAAGGGCTATATATAGGCCAGTTAACCCAGTCCCCTCTGGGGACGTACATTCCATGTCGAACTTCGTCTATAGTTCGGAATATAAAACATCTATTTATTTCCCCTCCCCCCCGCGTCCTCGAAGGAATAAAAGGTATGAGAATGGTATTTGCTTAAGCGTCCATCCATGGGCTGGGCCTAGGCCAACGAAATCAGTCCCCCCTTCCACAAAAACTTCCTCCAAGGCTTGTACCAACAAATTTGGGTATTGAAAGTTGTACTTTGGAGTCGGCAACCTAACAGCTATTCACGTTCCTTCCGTTTTGTTGAAGGAAGGGCCTAGTCTAACAAAATGAGACCCCTCAGAATGCCCGGTTCCCCCCCCCCCCCAGGGCACGTACCCCAAAAGTGGGAATTTCTCTGGAGTCAGCAATTTAACGGGTATTTGTGCACTAAGTTTCAGCCTCTTATCCTATCTAGAGCATGGTTAGACTTAGCGTTTGTCAGCCATTTAGTCAGTCGCTCAGCATCGCCTGTATGCATTAGATATTCCATATAAAATCTACTGTGGCCCGTAGTGGTGGTTTCCGGTGGTCCGTGGAATGCGCGCGCACTTAGGACACGCGCGTGCGCTCAGCTTGAACCCGTGTAGCTCTCTTCATAGTCTGCGTTGATTCTGCCTGCCTATGGGAGTGCTTCTCCCTCTCTTGGGCTCAATTTTTTCTTTCCCAGCTGTTGCGACAGTTGGATCTATTCAGAGTTCAGGGTTCATAGTTAGGATGACGGAGAAATTGAAAAGAAAAAGATATAGGGTGCAAGAATCGAACTCAGAACTTCTTAGTTACCAGCCAAGTGTGCCACCGCTACACCCCCAAACCCAAGCCATGCGGATATCTTCAACACTTCTCCTACATCTGCCATGCCATCCCTTACATCACAGCGAGAGAGAAGAGGCACGCTACGCACACTCCCCGCTCCCCCTACTCAGGAAACGCTCCCTGCTTAACATACGGACTGTTCTGCAGGGACGTGTAAAAGGTCCCCGCGTATTACCCTTGGGTGGGGGGGGGGGGAGTTTGATGGTTTTTGAGAAGGATTTTACTCGTATATATTGCCTGTGGATGATGCTTTTTTAAAAGGAGGGTGAAGCGTTTGCACTCGATAGTGGCCATGCAACCACCAAGGGTAGTGAACACCACGACAAGTATTCTCACCATAGTTCCGTGGTGATCTTTCACAGCTCTAGGTTCACTGTCCGGTGACAAAATATGCATTCCTTAAGAAAACAGGGTCTCCCTTTATTATATTCTGTTGTGACGCACATAATAATGACTCACTTGTCATCGAGCGCAATGGAGTCTGTTGATGCTGGATGAGGATCCGTCGCCTCGATTGATATTCATATCGAATCGCATTCGCACTCCTTTTCCATTACTCATCGTGTCATGTGTGGAGCCAGAGCTGTGGAATCCCTTCCAGATTAAACGAACTTCCCAGGCAATGGACAGCAAAGGCAAGTGCGATAGACGGAGCGAAGAATGTCACGTACACAGCCAACAATAATGTGAATATGAATACAAGAACCACATACGAAGCAAAAACAAGCCAGAATTCTGCTTAGACGCCAATTGTTATCGCCTCCTTCATCCGTTCCGGAACAACACCATAGAATAACAAGGAATGTGTTATTCTTTGGATCACTGAAGAATAAATACTACCTTCTAAATGTAATCAGCCATTGAAAGACGACCTACAATTGGACCGAACCGCCCAGTTATCGTCAGACAACGGATCGTGACACAGACAAAGAAATACTCAGAAGGACAGACAGGACGGGATCATGTAATATCTCTTTCCGTACAGGAAAGGGCACCCCCCCCCCCACCCAAGGAATTAAACGCGTAGCTGTTTGCGATGATTCGACGATATCGGATGCGAAAATTGCGTTGTTAATGTTGTTTCGTCATCACTTCATCGTGTTGTTAATGCCAAGGTCGTAGCTGGAACTTCAGGGGGAAGGGCAAAAAATAAATTTTTAAATTCTTCTGGAAAGGACGTGCGCTTCAAGTTTCTTCGAGTAATAATCAATATTCAATTATCAAGTTTATTATTTTCTTTTTTGCTGATGATACTTCTTATGTACTCCCTTGAATGGGACGACTCAGTCGCTTGGACCTCCACTACCATCTATGCCTCTGATTACTAATTGCATTTTCTCTTACTGGTGATTACTTATATATCCTGAGTTTACATTTTTGTCTCTGGGATTAAGCCCGCATGACGTCAGTGTTCATGGATTTTGTCCATTTCATAGGTTTGCGTGCGGAGGGGCATGCTTTCTGTAGCAGAGGAGGGTCGACTGTCAACCCCGACCCCTGGGACAGAACTGGGTATCTCACCAGTAGCCGTAACTCCCACTTCTACCTGGTGAGGAACAGGAACGTGAGAGCCTCCGGACGCCAACTTCTCGCTGACGGCACCGGAAGAACTGTCAGCGCGGCCCTTTTTATCATGGGCGACGGCCGAGCCAGTATGCCTTTTTTTAGTTGTGGCATCATCATGTTTCCATGAGTGTGAGGACCTCGCAGGTGAGGCGCATAGGCCACAGCCACCTGTTGCACAGGGTGCACATGATGATCCTCTGATCCATGGGGCACCACGGCCGTTGGACTGTCGAGAGTCTCATCCGCCCTTTATCGGTGAAGGGGCCTAGCACCGCCTTAGGCAAGCAGCTCGATGTTCCCATGTCACTCATCCAGGTTGTGCCCATGCTGACGCTGCTTAACTTGGTGATCGAAGGCTAAGATTCGAGCGCTGCGCCACGTTGCTTCTGTGGAACAGCTGTGTGGAATGAAGACCACCATCGTTCCGATCATCATAGGCACAACTGGCGTTGTCCTGAAAGACCTCAAGGGACATGTCAGGAAACAGGAGTGTGAAATATCACTGGGTATCCTCCAGTGTACAGCAATCTTGGCACGGCCTGCATCCAGTGTACAGCAATCTGGGCACGGCCAGCATCCTTCGCCGTGTCCTTCAGAATTAGGCGAGTATAAGGTCTGGGATGCGGTTCATCCCCCCTCATATCTCAAATACCGGCAGGTGCCGTGGAAGGATTTATTTATTTACATATATACAGACTTCTCGTTTCGAAATACAGTTTCAGAACACGTCATATCCGATGAGCTCACAAAATAGGCTTGCTTTCTGTTTCAAGTGTTGTCATCTTGGGGTGACTTACAGTAATTCCAGGCTTTCGTTCAATCTATAGAATGTACATGAAACTAAATTATTAAGTTCCGCTCGATGACAGATTTGTAAACATTAGTCCAAGTGACATCAACTTGAGGATGGGATGAAAATGTAAACTTCCCTCAGAAGTGCCTGCTTGATGGCTGAGTAGAGGAAAAATCCTACTTTTGAAATATGTCCCCTTAGCGTAGATTATAGGAGGGAAGTATTTCAAAATGTATTCTCCACCCTTACAAAAGGGACACAAGAAAAAATTTCAAGTTAAATAAGTAAAGATTTTGATAAATATTAAGGCTTTTGTCCCCATATATCACGTATTTCAATGGGGACGTACTTGAAATACGTGTTTGCCATTTCGCAAGGAATAAATGAATTAATCACTATACAAGTTAATGGTGCGCCGAAGGCGCAACCATAGCGAGTTTGTTATATCAATGACCAGTCTGAAATCGGAAACGAATAGTTCCATTAAATAAAAAAGGGAAAATCTGAATCAACTTTGAGAAAATGCTCAAGAACTAACATTCATTGACTTTTCTGCTTTCGTTGGTAATAAGTTCATGAAAACCATCTGCAAAGGGTAAACAGCCAAAAAAATATTAATTAGAATGGAAGAGGAACTCGATGTGGTTTGAAGGACCAGGAAGGACTTCATCCGGCGTGACCTTCACCGGGTGAAGGACTCAATTGCTTCCTCTACTCTGCTTACCGGCAGGAGCTCTTGTCCAGTGACGAACGTAATTAACGTTTTTAACTTCATTCTAATTACCAACTTGAGAAGTCAATTACCAGGACTGTCATTGTGAGTCACTTTCACTCTCACCACGAAGTGGCTATTTTATTTCAAAAAACCATGTGCCGGGAATCTGACTATTTCAATACTGCATCAATTCGAGTTGTGAAGTTTGGCAAAGTTTAAGTGATTATTCTGCTAATTGGGAAGGGGGAACTCAGAAATTTGAATGTTTTGGTAATGTATGGACACCTCTGATATAAAAATAAATACAAAATCCATGTTAACTGTTACCTAACTTTCGCGTTTTGGTTAGGTTTCGGCGTCTTCTGAACGTCTTCGGCACAGGGCTTCGATCCTCCATGAAAAGTGATTCACCATCTACTTGTCTGCAATCTGCCAGACAATACAATAGAAAATCCTTGAGTATCAGCATACCCGTCACCCCCTTAATTTGTAGTCGACGGTGTTGTCACTAGAAAGAACCTTCTTTCCTTGAATATTTTCAATCCAGCTGACATATGATGTCCTTTGAGAAGGCCCCTTTAAAGGACCTCTATAGGCCCTTAAAATTTCCCCATAGGAAAGGACTTTAAAAATTTACGTAGAATGGGTTCCTGGAGTGATGCGAAACATTCAGTAATTGCTTCCTTTATTGCGAATGGCGATGGAACGGTTAATGTTCGGATAATGGGCATATTTTCCTTGAGATAAAACTTCCATTCACCGGAAATTCCGATCGATATTCCATCCAATTATACGGGGACTAGTTAGTCCTGAGATGTTATCACGCAGAAACTGCCACATGTACAATATTCCTTGAATTGTCTACCTGTAAGTACTTCCTGTCCTTTGTTGAAGGAAGAAAATGAGGAGGCAATCGTTTTTCCCAAGATTGGGCCAATTCCGGTGTTTCGGCTTCACCCAGTGACTTGAGAGAAGACATGGAGGAGGCATGCGAAAGCGTGTCGATACATAGAAAGAGTACTCTAAACACCCTCCAGACTCGCTAGTCATCTTCCTCCCTCCCTCTTCCTCCTCTTCTCCCTCCTCCTCCCTCCAGCAATTTAAAAATTTGGATGCGGTGCCAAACATCCACCATTCTCTAAATGGTCGTGATGCTGCTGTTATTGTCTTGTGTCCACCGCATGCCTTACCAGAAAAAAAATCTCTTCAGGGAAGTGTCGCCATCAGCTGCCAGTTTTCCCATTGTTAGCGACTTCTCTTTCCTAATCGGTCATGATCAACATCGGAGGGAAATAACACCAGAGCTATATCCATATCTCCTACCAGGAAAGTGTTAGTAGGTGTGGGAGTGGGAGTGGGGGTGGGGGCCGGGGGCGGGGGGGCGGAAGCCAGCAAAACGAAAAGTCAGACGAACGTCGTTGCTTTCCTTTCTCTGGTCATTTAGAAAAAGGTTAATCTTGTAATTCAGCTTTTCCTATGAATGCCTGGAATTAGTTTCTGCTTTCCTCGCATTCCGCCAATAACTGAGAACAATGCAAACTTTTGGAGACAGAATGAAATGAGACTTACTCCTTATACGAAGAGTAATATTATGAATGACATTTGGAATAAAAGAATGTTAGTTATTGAATGTTAGTTATATTCTTCGTCATTTTTCGAGGATCATAAGCCGTATTTGTCTTATAAACCTCCAGCTCGCTCAAGATCCCTCAAGGCCCTTCGATTAATCCTGAAACATTCCTCATGGAAGTGAGACCCTCCAAACTCAACTAACTTTTGGAATATTAAATTCTGCGTATTGATGAATAATTTTAAACCTCGTGCAAACAAGAGGGACTCCTCGACGCGGCAGGCTTTCCTCGTGGAGCACTCATATATGATGGACGAGACGCGTCAATGCATGTTTGAGGCGTTGCCAGGGGAACGGGTCGCTTCGTGTCGAGGAGGAACGGGAATTTTCCTTTCGATTCGGGCTTCGCTCACGAGCCATTATTTGTCAGGCTCTCCTTTCTAAAGTCATTATTCGCCCCCCTTTCTGAAGCCATTACTTGCAATTGTGTCCCCGATTTCCCATTATCCCCGAAGAGGAAGGCCGAGCTAGAAGGAGCAGCAGAAGAAAGTGAATATATATTAATCAAATAATATTCGTGTCAATTGTTATTCACTAAGTTTTTTTTACCCAGAAACGTATCATTATTAAAAGCCGTACTATCACTCAATGATTCTCTTTCATTCAATATTTTCCTGTTATTACCAAACAAATAGCCAGAACGAGAAGGAATCCCCCATGAAAAGGAATGAATGAAGTCAGGTGCGAAAATTGTTCTGTAACTGGAGTGATTCCAATGCCATTTTTGAGCTTCGCAGAAATTCCACAAAGGGAAAAAAAGATCCCATCCGAGATTCACGCCTTCGTGACACGTCTGAGGCACGTCGCAACGCGCAGGAACGTGCGCGGAGGGAAACTGCGACCGTCCTCGGACCCGAACGGGAAGCAAATCCCAATCCTGATGGCGAAGGAGAATTTCCATTTCCTCAAGTGGGACGAAGAAAGGGCGAAAATCCCCATCTTTCTCCCTTTTTCTTCGGTAGTCTCGCAGGAAACAATAATTGCTTCTTGTTGACGCAATTTAATCCGGACGATCGTTTAATCGATCGAATTTCCACCGGCCCATTGCATGAAATATGATGCCAACGAGTGCGCGATATTTATTCAAATCCAATTGATTGACATAGTTTATGCCACAAAATATACATTGCCTGGAAAGTAATTTATGGCTTCTGCGAACCACCGAATGAAACATGAGCGGAAATAGTAGCCGATTAAAATGATTTGTCAGTTCATGACATGATTCTTATCACGTTGTCATTTTATTATAACATATTTTTATCACATTATATAAATTTATTCGAATGGCTAAATAGGTCGATGACTGATGGATGGGGAACGAAAGTAATTTATTCGTGATTTTTTGCTGGCCTTGCCCTGACCGCAGCCATGCTCTCCCGATTCCAATGAACATAAAGGACTATCCCCTTCCGAAAACCATGGGGAAAGGTCAATTCCTCGTCCTCGGCATAATTATAGTCCTACCAGTCCCACCCACATCGCACTGATGGAAACAAGATGATAAACAAACGTGAGGGACCCTGCACGAAACGCCTCCCTCAAAGCTCAAGAAGGAATAATGGGGAATGTATGGGAAATGCTACCGTCGAAGGACAGTGCTTGCGATAGGGTTGAAACGCATCAAGTTCGAAACGCATCAACGCATACGATATACGGGGAATGCTCTCGGCTCACCTCGGACCTCCGACGACGAGCGACTGGAGCAAAAGTATGCTCCTCGTGGAGAGGGATGCTTCGGTCTCTGGCGAGGAGAGGCCGAGTGGGAAGCGCGGAGCCCATTCGGCTCAGGTTTTCCCGTTTCTCTTTCTTGGGAGGTCGATGCGTTGTTGTCGTGGTGCAGGACCAACCTCCTCGATGGATTGGATGTCGGTTAATCAACTAGATGATTGCAGTCGTTGCTTGAGGAGGCGCAGCTTGTTGTACTTTATCGGTGATGGGTCGTGCATGGATCATTATTTATAATTGGATACGTGCGGGAATCGCCGGAATCGCACCATCGTTGCAGTCGGCGACGCACCAGGACCGTCCTAATTGCTTTAAAAATGCATGGGAATCGGCGCAAGGGAAACTTCGCTTCGTCGCGGGTCTTATCCGTCGGCCGTTCGATTCCCTCGCAGGAGAAAGCTGCTGCATGGAGGATTGGGGTGACCTTGGCAACCGCGCGGGGGAAGGGGAGGGGTGTTGCTAGCAACCTTGAACAAAAAAGGCGGGGAAAGGCAGATCTCTTAAAGATCCACTTTCCTTCAGTCGTGCGTCGGATGCTTCCGCGGTTTCGTGCGTGCCGCGCGTTCCTCTCGCTCCGTGCAACGTTCCAGCTTCAACCGTTCACTTTTTCCCCATCAGATAACGAAATTGCAGACGGATCTCCCGTCCCCGGGGCACTTCTAGTACGAATTGGGGCACGTCTAGCACGAATTGGGGCACGTCTAGCACGAATTGGGGCACGTCTAGTTTGAAATGCTCCTCAGGCGATTTTCTTCCCTCCTTCCCGGCCGGTCAGTACTTATTTCGCTCGCAATTGCGCTTGAACATGCACTGACTTTCGACTTCATTGTAAATCATCTGGGATGAGAGAAACGATGGACGAGGACTCATCCGTATTTCACTCGTATCGTACGCGATATTCAAGCGAGGCCTCAGCCATCCCGACCATATTATCATATCCGTTTTAATTATTATAATTATTAGAATGTGCAAATGTGAAAAGCGGAAAGACGCCTTCAACTCAACGCTTCAACGTAACTATCAAGATCTTATTAAAAATATGATTAGGAACTAAAAATGCAATTGGAATCCACAGCGAAAGGTATTTTCGAACTTGCATTAAGTTGAGGAATATCTTAGAACGGCAGTCACGCGATGAAGCGATCCTTTCAGCTCGAGCGTCTAAAATTATCCATGGCGTGTTTTGCGGTAGACCTATCGGATCCGGTCGGTCCAAGGACGAAAAGATTTACCGGATATTTTCTGGGAGACCTTTCTTCATTCCCTCGCTCGAAGTCTCAGGTGAAGCGCCGTGGATTCCCGTACGGATGGGAATTTTAATATATATATATATTTATATATTTTTTTAGATCTCTTTGGTGAAAGTTTGAAGGTGGTTGCACACATCAAATCAACATTTTAGAACGACGGAATTGCGATCGTTACGGTACGTCAGTGAAAACAGGAGTTACAAGTGACTCCCGTGATTTCTCCGTGCTTTCAGGTAATTCAAGGATTAAGCTGGTCGCCTCGAGGGCGATCGCGATGCGGCGAGGGAGCCCGGCCGCGAGCGTTCCTCGGAGGGATCCGATCCCGCAAGCTGGAATGAACTGTGCGGGGTCGCTCGAACGCCCGTAACCGGGCGGTTAGCGTTCTTGACCGTTGTCGATTCCTCCCCGAGAGGTTCCTCCTCGTAGATGAGGTGGGTCTGTCCAGAACGAGAGGACTAAACTTCTCTTCCTTTTCGTGACAACGTGAGTTTCGACGCTTCGCATCTACTTGAGGGATTATTTATCTATTTGGAAGGAAGCTAGGTATGTCGTATATAGTATCACCTTTTACGTCCAAACCGATCCGAGACGATTCGAAATTACCAGGAGATAGCTCAAAATGCAATTTTGAGTTTTCCGGCGATGATGCAATGCCAGATATTCCACACCCTTTCACCTGAATTTGTACGCATTTGTTATGGGTTCTTCACCCCTCTCTGCCGCCTCAAACGTAACATTTCCCTTTCGCACGAGATTATGCCCTGAAAGCGGCAATGGTTCTCTTTCTGGGGCGAACAAACACGCTGGGACGTTTCGCTACGGAAGCAGACCGTGGAACGAACCTCGTTAGGCAGACTGTGAACCCTGTCTCGCAAATCCCCCCCCGACGAGAATGCGGCCCGAGTGTTTCCCTGCAGTTCATTGATTCATTGATCCTTGCCCGTCGAACGAGATAAGAGACGTCCCATCCCATTCGGTTCGATCGAGAACGAAATCATGAATGAAGGCGCAGGTCTCGCTTAAAAGGAACACTGTTCATCAAAAATTCATGAAAAAGACGTCAGGCTAGACAAACAAATCTCATTTTTTCTATCCCATTTTCGGCAGCATCATTCGACTCACTTCCTCTCATTTTTAAGCATGGCTCTTTCCTGATGAAATTCAGCTTTACCTACCAAAAAATAAAACAGGTAACTGAGGGGTCACAACATAATACTTCAAATGTGAAGGCAACCCATGCAAATGATGGCTGACACGGTGTAACGTCATAAGGCGCATAACCGCTGGCGGCTTATATGTACGCCTTGACCACTGACTGGAACAACAGAACAAGAGAACGAGTCCATCATGAAGGCAGACCATCGGGAACTCGATGCGTTATGAAGGGGTTTTCATTAATGGGTACCGCTTGGCTAGAAAGTCCGGGTTGGTGGTTACTGCGTTTTTGGACCGGCCGAGTTCTTCCGGACCGGGGTTCCTGCTGCGCTTGGATCAGGGCCACAAGGCGGCGCTTTCTCACACTGCAACGCTGTAACTTACGGTAATAAAGGTTACTGTAACTTAGTGTGCGTTGCCTTCCGGCAATGTTCATTATCTTGTCGAGTTTTTTGACCCGTTCCTATATGGTCCAGATGACGGAGACCCTGCCGAGGCTGGGGGTGGAGACCGAGGTCGGGCGGGTGCGGGCGAAGAATCTCGCATCTGAAACCGGCGACGAAGGGCCGAGAAGAAAGAAGCGAATCAGGGGACAGGTGACGCGGCGGCCAAGGAAAGTTCCGAGCCCCACGATGACCGTTTCCAAGTTGGACGTGACCGGACGCCCGCGGTGGATCAACGGGAACGAAAAGGAGACCATCACCTTGCCCTACATCAGGGTCAACATGCCGACGGACCGAAAATCCGAATTGAATCGCTTCAAGCGCAGCTACTACGAGGGACTTCGGAGGCTTCCGATGGCAAAGCGCCGGATTCGCCCTCCCACCGCCGCGTCGGCTGCGTGGAACCATCCTCCGTCGTCCTTCCGGCAATACCTCGCCCCCGTTCCAATCCTCCTAAGCCGTCCCGCATCAGACCCAACCTTCCCAAACCGTCTCGTAACCGCTCCATCTCTCCCAGAAGACCCCGTAACCGCTCCATCCCTCCTATAATCTCTCGCCCCAGTCTCCCCTCTCCGAAAAGATCCCGCTCCCGTCCCGTCTCACCCAAACGATCCCGCTCCAGTGGAAATGATACAGGAAGAAGTACTGAAACGGAGAACTCAAAGGAAACCCCTCAACAGGCGAACTCTCACCTAACTCCGCCCGTCATCACACAAGAGGTGTCGACACAAACGGAAGTCACAGACAATAAAGACTCGACTCTCGTCACGTTGGTGGAGATGCTGGAAGATCCAGACCCTCAGGTCCGACACCAGGGCGCGATGGGCCTGAGGAAATTTCTATCTCACCAAAGTGCCCCCATACAAGATGTGGTGGACGCTGGAGCCATTTTTCCGCTCCTTTCACTGCTGGATGATGCCGAGTACCCCAAAACCCAGTTCGAGTCACTGTGGGCACTGACCAACGTGATAGGGGGAAGTTCCGCCCAGGCAGCGGAGGTCGTGGAAGCAGGCGGTCTATCCCATTTCATTCGGCTTTTAAAATCTTCAGACGAACAGGTGAAAGAACAGGCTGCGTGGGCTTTGGCGAACGTTTTCGGAGACGGTCCGGAATTGCATAAACTTGCCATCGAATCGGGTGCCGTGGAACATCTCCTGTCGCTTTACGATTCGGAAGCCTCGATTTCCACGCTTCAGAAGTTGGCGTGGGCGCTGAACAACGTCTTCAGTCGCCCGCTTTATCGGCGGGAAGTCATGGAACTGACCCTGCCCATCCTCAGGTTGCTCATGGAGAGCAAAGACGAGGAGATCCTCTACGACTGCCTCGAGGCCCTGACGCATTTCACGGGTCGGAATCAGGAAAACATTCGACCCGTGGTGGAAGCAGGCTTCGTCCCCCTCGTCGTGCAGCTCGTGGTCCACGAGAGCGAGGAAGTGAGGGCGGCTGCCGTCGGATTGGCCGTGAACATTGCGTGTGGGACCGTGAACGAAACCCAAGTCCTCATCGATAGCGGGATTTTCTCGCGGGTCCTCGCGGTGCTCCAAGAAGGAAGGGTCGAAGGAAACCTGAAGAAAAGCATATTTCGGGTGCTGCACAACATCGCAACAGGGACGCAGGAGCAGATCTCGGCTCTTCTGCACGCGAACGCCCTGTCGATGGTTCTGAGGGACGCGAGGGACCCGGAGCAGCCCCCCTTCGTGCGAGAGGAAGCTCTCAGGGTCGTCTCGAAAGTGGTGGAGCGGAGCGAGAAGGCGCTCTTGCAGCAGCTGAATCTCAGGGGCATCGTCGAAGCCGTGGGTGACCTCGCCGGTGCCAGCGACGATTCCTTCGAAATTCGCTGCGACATACTGGTGAAACTGATGAAAGTGGACCCTATCGTGACCGATATGCTGGAAGAATATGGATTCATCGACAGATTTCAACTCATAGCAGAGAACAAGAGCGACGACCGAAGCGGTCCGGCCGACCAGGTCATGCAAGCTTACAAAAAATCCAAAAATAAAAATTTGGGATGCTGCATCAGTTTAATGGCGATTGCAGCATCATAGGCAACCCCCATTCCCTGCTCCAAGAAGTGCCCAAATATCGGAGATTGCACTCCATGCGCCGCTATACCATAGCCACGGTTTCGTGAATGTTTATCTCCTATTTCTCTGTGGATTGTGTGTTTGTTTTTTTTTTGGCCTGGGACGTCTCACATGGATCCGTATGGCAAAGAAATATTGATGGAAATTATTTTGAAAATAATATTTTCGCTGCCCGACATTGTCCATGAGTCTGAGGAAAGTTCAAGTGAAAGCAATAAACTATTTTTGGGTCTTTCCTCCTTGATGAGCACTTCCTTAAACAGCCTCGAGAGACTAGCCAAGAGATTGCGAAAAAATCAGAAGGATGAATCACACAGAGCCAGGCTTACCTAACTAATTAGCTTGTTATACCGAGCTAGAATTGTTACTTCAGAATTAAGATGAGGGTATGAGACAGGGAGATATTGTTTGGAAACAGTCATATAGAAAATTGATGCGCGAAACCCATACATGATTTAATAATTTTTCCGATCGCATTTTTGAAATGTAGGATTCCAATAGCACTTATAAATACTTTCTAAACGATTTTCATGCCTCAAAAATTCTTTAAGATTTCTAGAGGAACATCAAGGGAACCCGGTACGGTTTTATTGCCCAAGCAAAACATATTACATATATTACAAGGTGAAAATGTATTTGGACATACTCCATCCGTGGCTATGGCAAGAAAATGATCAAGTGGGAAATGATTGCAGTTTGCTAGGTGTCTCGAGGAATTCAAAACGCTTGCACACGTGACCAAAAGTTAAGTTCATGCATCGACCCTATCCAATTGCAATCGAACCCATTGGCAACACAAGCGCTTCATATGGTGGAATGAGAACTTGTAACAAGAAAATTTCACTCTAAAAGTTGGGTATGACATCAGGGGGGAAATTTGTTTATGCAATGTGCTCTAACTGCAGGAAAATCTATTTCATTTAGGTGAAAAATAATTCATGGCATTCGAACTAGGGATCGATTCGGATCCCCTTCACAACCGTTCCTACAAGTTGAAGACGAAGGAGGTGGGAGGCAAGCAGGAGACGAAAGTACTGGGCATTTGAAAAGAGCACTTATACCACTTTCCGTTTCGTGGCTCGGCGTACAGCCAGTGTTTTCCTTCATCCCGTACTAAAGAAAAATATTGTACAGGAAAACCATGTATGCATTTATGTCTTTATTCCTCAAGATACGATGCATTTGTGAAGCGCTTGTAACTTTGGGCCACATTCCGACTCGGTATTACAGTTGACATGACTGCTGACCATCTACAACAGTCCTTCATTATGTTCACAATTGCTTGTTGTCAGTGACTGGTGCTCGTAGACTGCAGACAACGCCAACATGTGCAATATCACTACCATATCTGAATGCCTGATTTACAAAGCCCATGTATTTTTGGCAATAAACCCATTTGCTGAGGTACCACAGCGCGAATATTAGGAAATGATCTTCAGAATTCATATTCTGCTATCTTAATCTCGATCCATCTTAGAAATCTATTTATTTACAAAGCCCATGTATTTTTGGCAATAAACCCATTTGCTGAGGTACCACAGCGCGAATATTAGGAAATGATCTTCAGAATTCATATTCTGCTATCTTAATCTCGATCCATCTTAGAAATCTATTTAAAATGGACACAGTAGGTCCCCTAGCATCATATGACATTGAATCAACATTGAATGAATGTTGTTTCCATGTTATGTGCTTCTAGGGTTATAGCTGCAACATATTCGGGAAATGATCATCGGGTGAAATGCAATAGGAAAAGGAAAAAGAGATGCCTCATCAATGTAATTTTGTGAAAATGATGTAATGCCCAGGGCGTATCATATCACACTTAATGGCTTTGGAAAAAGTAACTCGCGATCCCTTCCACGCGTTAAGAACCTTCCTTAGAAGGAAGAACCACGGGACTCCCGGAATCTCAAGCATAATGTTTGGAATTCTGCGACACCCACCTTTCCAGGTCGGGGAATGCTATTCACGAACACGTGGTGGAAGGCATGGCATGGAGCTTTTCCTTCAGGAGGTTTTCGCTTCGTCGTGATCCGCGCATAACATATTGGAGGTTCGGAAATGAGTGAGGTAACGGTCCCCTGTAATGGGAAGAGTTTCATGGCGGCATCTGTTCGGAACACCGAGGAGTTCAACTTCCATCAACTTGGCAGTAAATGTTTACGATCCGTTAGAACACCAGCCGATTACCTGCAAATCATAAAAATGAACACTACTTGTATCAGTAATAAAAACTATCCGCATGAAATCCATAGAAATGAGAAACTACTAAAATGAACAAATGAAGAAGAGACACAGAGGAAGCCTCCGTCGAAGTGACTCTCGAAGAAGTGACATGGAACCTATTTTACGGAATCTCACCATGTGTACTAAAAGGACTGATCCCCTTACTTTCTCCAATCTTTCACCAGCTCGAATTTGCGATCCACTGAGAATATGATACAGGTTGCTCTCATGTTTCATCTGGCTTCCGATCGCATGCTTCCTATTTTGACGGCCTGCCACACTGCTCCCTCCATCAGTCACTCCAATTGGACTGCTGAATGGAACCATGAATGAAGTAGTATTTAAGGAATACCTCTATAGCACATGTTAATGTACATACCTCGCACTTGTGCATTTACAGGTTTCCTTTGATTTCCTTGCCTCTTAGGGAAGACTACACCTCAAATCTTCCGTTTTCAAAGCCGATGAGGTGCCAACACTCATTATCACGGTCTCCACCTATATGATAGACCCAATTCAGCTCAAATGACAGAGTTCCTTATCATTCTGATTAATTTCGAAATTCCCAGAAGAAACCTGAAATACTGTTGTTGATTGTTGAATTCTCTGTCACGGTTTGTCACCCTTCGGCCGCCAGTCCGACATCGATGCCGCATATATTGTGGCATGCATCCACCTAATGGATTCTCACATTTGGGGATGCCTGAAGCGTTTAACACTGACCCTTTCTTCAACTGGCAGCAATATTCTTCTCTCTTGTTGCAGTTTGTCCGGTTTTTAACTGTCTCGGGTAAACAGGACAGTAGGACTGATGTAGATGCACATTGCTGATCACAATGCGCCAGAGGCGATGGAGTGCTTATGGGGCTTGGAATGTTGCTCTTGCAACATTCTTCATCACCAGGGCATGACGCGTATGAGACCTCGGTTTTTGGTTCACACTGGCTTTTAAGTGACTGTGGCAAACAGGAAAGAGGACATTCATCTTTCTCTTCACCTCCTGGAAAGAAGTGGAAAATATAATTTTATCGTCCAGGGGCTGACAAATAAATATTTACGTTGCACTAATTCTCATACTTTCACAAATGGAATGGATATGGTCATTGGAATCGTCTTAAGTACAGGTTGATAATTCCAATTTTTAAATCTACGAGGTCTGATCAAAAAGTATACGGCCACATTTCTTTCTTTTTAACAAGAAGACACTTGAGGTCGAGGAGTAGGTTGCGTGTGACCTTGAACCTCCGTGCGCATGCGTGAATTATTAATCGTCGCTCGGACTGCTCAGTTACCTTCAGTCGGTCAAAATATATTGTTGTGCGTTTTCTGCGCGTCGCAATGAAGATGACTGAGAAAATTGAGCAGCGCATCTGCATCAAGTTTTGCCAGAAACGTGGGCACTCATGCTCAGAAACATACGGTATGATTCAGATGGCTTTTGAGAATGAGGCAATGGGCCATACGCAAATTAAGGAATGGTTTAGGCAGTTCAACGAAGGACGGACGTCAGTGGAGAGTGATGAACGCTCAGGGAGGCCATCCACGAGCAGGAACCAACAGGTGATTGACAAAGTGCGTGCTGCCGTGCGAGAAAACCGGAAGATAACAATTAGAGAGCTGTCCGATGAGTTGGGGATTTCGTTTGGTTCGGTACGGTCCATTCTGACAGAAGATTTGGCTATGAAATGCGTCTCAGCAAAATTTGTCAAAAAACTGCTGACAGTCGAGCAAAAGGGAGCTCGCCTTGCGGTAGCCAGAGATTTGCTGCAGTGTGTTGATCGAGACGCAAACTTCATGAAAACAAAAATTACCGGTGATGAATCGTGGGTCTACGGGTACGATCCGGAAACCAAAGCCCAGTCATCACAATGGAAGACTCCTCAATCACCGAGGTCAAAGAAGGCTCGCCAAGTTCGAAGCAAAGTCAAAGTGATGTTGACTGTTTTCTTCGATCACAAAAGAGTCGTTCACCATGAATACGCACCAGATGGCCAAATTGTAAACAAGCAGCTCTACGTCGAAGTTCTCCGGCGGCTGCGTGATGCGGTGCGGCGCAAGCGACCTGCGTTGTGGGAGCGGAGCGACTGGCATCTGCACCATAACAACGCCCCCGCCCACTCGTCACATCTTGTCGAGAACTTCTTGGCCATACTTCGAATCCTGCAAGTTCCGCAGCCCCCCTATTCACGGGACATGGCTCCGTGTGACTTTTTCCTTTTCCCAAAGTTGAAAATGCCATCGAAGGGGAAGCGATTTGAAGACACGGAGGAGATAAAACGTAATGCGACGACGCAGCTGTTGGGTATTCCACAGAGCGAGTTCCAAAAGTGTTTTGAACAGTGGAAGGACCGCTAGAACAAGTGTGTGGTGACAGAAGGGGCATACTTTAAAGGGGATTAGGACCGCAACACCGTAGTTTAGAGAGTTTTTTTTTCCCTGCCATTGGTCGGATACTCTTTGATCAGACCCCGTATATTCCCACTGGAGGTAAAGCTTCGTCTCCTAAATTTCTAATTGACATTACTTTTGTACAATCGGTCTAAGAATGGAGGAAATATGAACATTTTTCTTTCACTAAGTGAACGCCATCCACTAATTAATACAGCAGCACAGCCCATTGCGTGATTTCACGTAAAATGACACTCATTAGAAGATGAAATCCAGAAGGCCACGGCAGACTGAGATTGAGTGGTGCTCTCCCACCCACATATCAAATCAGAAACGCACAGTGAGGTACATATATAGTACTTTCTGAGGCTCAAACGTTTCTCGTAAAATACGTTCGTTCAAAATGTACAGAAGAAAAATGAGGTGCAGACGAGTCCCTCACAATCTCTATTCATTTCGGGCCGAAGGGCGTTTAAAGACCTGCTTATAAACCTCAATTATCAGCTTTGAAAAGAGCTTTAATGGCACCATCATCTGGCACCACGTCTCTGACAGGCAGCAAACTGTCACTGATAACACGCAGACAGCGTCCCTATTTTTCATAAGACGTGCACGCTGTCTCATGAACAGTGCCGTCTCCAGTTATCATGGAAACAGTAGGTCACAAGAGAACCTGCTTTAGAAGGATAATCTTACAAGTTTATAGAAAATTAGCCGCTCATTTTTCGGAATGAATAAAGTCATAACCTGTTGTTTCATACTTATTTGTTTCCTTAAAAAAACCCAGCATTTAATATTTACCAGAACCCTTGATTGCTATTGAAACATTACGATTATACTTTTACCTAATAGTAATTTATGAGTATCATGATGAGATGAATACAGGGAAAAGAAGAAAACTCAGGGTATCACATAAGGGGGGAAATTTGTTTATGCAATGTGCTCCAACTGCAGGAAAATCTCTTTTAGTTAGGTAAAAAATAATTCATGCCATTCGAACTGGGGATCGATTCGGATCCCCTTCACAACCGTTCCTACAAGTTAAGGACGAAAAAGGTGGGGGGCAAATAGGAGACGAAAGTACTGGGCATTTGAGAAGAGCACTTATAGCACTTTCCGTTTCGTGGCTCGGCGTACAGCCAGTGTTCCGTTTCATCCCGTACTCAAGAAATATATTGTACAGGAAAACCATGAATGCATTTATTTCTTTATTCCTCAAGATACGATGCATTTGTGAAGCGCTTGTAACTTTGGGCCACATTCCGACTCGGTATTACAGTTGACATGACTGCTGACCATCTACAACAGTCCTTCATTATGTTCACAATTGCTATTTACAAAGCCCATGTATTTTTGGCAATAAACCCATTTGCTGAGGTACCACAGCGCGAATATTAGGAAATGATCTTCAGAATTCATATTCTGCTATCTTAATCTCGATCCATCTTAGAAATCTATTTGAAATGGACACAGTAGGTCCCCTAGCATCATATGACATTGAATCAACATTGAATCAATGTTGTTTCCATGTTATGTGCTTCTAGGGTTATAGCTGCAACATATTCGGGAAATGATCATCGGGTAAAATGCAATAGGAAAAGGAAAAAGAGATGCCTCATCAATGTAATTTTGTGAAAATGATGTAATGCCCAGGGCGTATCATATCACACTTAATGGCTTTGGAAAAAGTAACTCACGATCCCTTTCACGCGCGAAGAACCTTCCTTAGAAGGAAGAACCACGGGACTCCCGGAATCTCAAGCATAATGTTTGGAATTCTGCTACACCCACCCTTCCCGGTCGGGTAATGCCATTTACGAACACGTGCTGAAGGGCATGTCATGGCGCTTTTCCTTCAGGAGGTTTTCGCTTCGTAGTGATCCGCGCAGAACATATTGGAGGTTCGGAAACGAGTGAGGGAGCGGTCCCCTGTAATGCGAAGAGTTTCATGGCGGCACCTGTTCGGAACACCGAGGAGTTCAACTTCCATGAACTCAGCAGTAAATATTTCCGATCCATTAGAACACCAGCCGATTACCTGCAAATCATACAAATGAACACTACTTGTATCAGTAATAAAAACTATCCGCATGAAATCCATAGAAATGAGAAACTACTAAAATGAACAAATGAAGAAGAGACACAGAGGAAGCCTCCGTCGAAGTGACTCTCGAAGAAGTGACATGGAACCTATTTTACGGAATCTCACCATGTGTACTAAAAGGACTGATCCCCCTACTTTCTTCAATCTTTCACCAGTTCGAATTTGCGATCCACTGAGAATATGATACAGGTTGCTCTCATGTTTCATCTGGCTTCCGATCGCATACTTCCCATTTTGACGGCCTGCCACACTGCTCTCTCCATCAGTCACTCCAATTGGACTGCTGAATGGAATCATGAATGAGGAAGTATTTAAAGAATACCTCTATAGCACATGTTAAGGCAGATACCTCACACTTGTGCATTTACATGTTTCCTTTGATTTCCTTGCCTTTTAGGGGAAGACTACACCTCAAATCTTCCGTTTTCAAAGCCGATGAGGTGCCAACACTCATTATCACGGTCTCCACCTATGATAGACCCAATTCAGCTCAAATGACAGAGTTCATTATCATTCTGATTAATTTCGAAATTCCCAGAAGAAACCTGAAATACTGTTGTTGATTGTTGAATTCTCTGTCACGGTTCGTCACGGTTGAAGAGTCGCATCAACGAGAGAATACTTCTTTTTAAGGTGGTCTCATAAAAATTTACTGACGATAAAGAAGGAAGAAGGAATTCGGATGAAGAAGTATGAAGCAGATTAGTTTGCTTACATTAACACATTTCAAACTTGTTCTTTTTCTAAAGACAGCGCAATATGCTCCCAGTGCAAGTCGCCGGGGGTCCTTTATGCCATAAACACGACAGACATAAAAAGAGTATGACCCTAAACTATGGGCAGCCACAGGGGTCGGTACTGGTTTCGATCCCTTTTAACATTGAACCTTTTAACCCTCGATAACCCTTCAACCGTGTCCCGGAAATTCTCGTAACCCAGCAGTCGTTCAGCCTCACTGAGGTGGGAAAGACGTTGACGAGAGATCTCCGTGTGCTGGAAACATACTCCCGGGCCTGGTGTCTGCGCCCCAACGCAGACAAGACAGTTGTATCAGCATTCCATCCCCACAACAGCGCCGCCGAACAACTGCTGCATGTCCCATTCTTTGGCAATCGGCTGGCCCACGACCCTCAGCCAAAATACAAGGGCCTCACACTGGAAAGGATGCTCAAATGCAGACGACATCTGACTAACACCAGAGAAAAAGTTAAATCCACGATGAACCTGGTCCAAAAACTAGCCGGAAGAAACGGGGCACTAGGGTCAAAACACTGCGTACGGCATCGGTGGCACTAGTTTACTCTGCTGCGGAGTACTGCTCTGCAGCATGGTGAAACAGCCACCGCGCTAACATCATCCATGTCCATCTAAAGACAGTTATGAGGACAGAGCCATTAAATGAATAACCAACTTGCATATTAAACTATAACCATCTCATCATCCATATTTATACATGTATATAATACGTTATCTTCCAATGTCTTACAAGAGAAGAATAATGTTTAATATCCACCAAATTGATATATGACCAACGGTCTGTAAACGGGAGCAAAATATCAGTAGGGAAACATTGCAAATTGCTTAAACACATGATTGCAAACTCAAGGAAATGTCCTATCACCATCAATATTGCGTCACCGCGACAAATGACATGGCTGCCGTTAATTTGCAACAGTTATTCATCATGTTCACTGTCGTTTGTTCTCAGCGATTGGTGCTCGAATATTGTGAATGATGCCGACGTGTTGTTCTTGATATCCACGGCCCAAACAAGTTATGCAATTAATTCCGATTGCATAGGTACCGCGGCGCAAGTATCAGGAGACGGTCTTCAGTATTCATTCTCTGCCATCGTCATCTCGATCCATTCCAGGAACCTATTGGAAATCGGCCCAGGCACTATTAGTTGCAACAGATGGGGAAAATGACAAATGGCTAAAGTGCGAGAGTGAAGAAAAAAAATGGAAAAACGGACGCCTCACCGATGGACTTTGGTGAAAATACTGTAATGCCCAGGGCGCACCTCACGGCATCTATCGCTTTGAAAGACGTGGCTCACGATCCCTTCCACACGCCATGAATTTTCCTCAGAGGGGAAGACCATAGGACTCCCGGAATCTCCAGAGCATACAGTTTGGAATTCTGCGACACCCATTATTCCTGGTCGGGTTATGGAATTTACGAGCACGTGCTGATAGTCATCGAGGGTGTTCTTACCTTCCAGAGGAGTCGACTCGTTGCGACCCGCGCAGAACATGTTTGAATTTAGGGTAGAAGTGAGGGAGCTGTCCCCTGTCGTGCGAATAATGTCTTGGCGACAATTTTCGTTCGAAACCACGGGCAGGTCAACTTCCATCAACTTGGGAGCAAACAATTCGGATCCGTTAGAACCCCAGCCGGCTACCTAAAACCATGGGTATGAATATTGTTTGCATTAATAATAAAATTATTATGCATGCAAATCCTTGGATGAAAAAAGAAACAATTAGCTAACCTTTCCTACCGTTCCTTCTTCCAGATCGTACTTAAATTTTGTTGGAAGGCATACCAACTGAACTCGCGCGGTCAACTTGATCGGTTCCATTAGTTTCAAAAGAGCGATATCGGAGTCATAATTCTGGTAATTGAAACCCTCATGACGTATAATCTTAGACACCTGGAAACGGAGCGCAAGCGTTTCGTCGATATGAGAAGCAATCAATTTCGAGTGGCGATGCACTGTTTTATGGTGTGGGTTACCTTTCTGATTTGCACGAATTCGTCATCCATGGAATTGTTTTGATAGTGTTTCCCGAGATACACCATTAAGTCGCTCTGGTTCCGGTACCTCAGGGAACCTTTAATGACGGCGCAATGAGCGGCGGTGAGTATCCATTGCCTCCGAATCAGCACCCCTCCGCAGATGACATGCTCCTTCTTCACATCGTAAATGGCCGCCTGCCAAGGCCACTTCCCAATTTCCGAAGGCTTTCCGCCCGCTGATAACTGCTTTCGTTGTACCTTTTTTCCACAATCTGGAAAAACAGGACAAAGTACTTGATCGAACTCTAAAACGTCGTTAACAAAAAAAATTATGAGTATCTCACCAGGTTCACAGAATGGACTGGTTCCCCCCCATTCTCCATTCCTTCCACAAATCCGAGTTTCCCATCCTCTGAGCACATAATACTGGTTACATTCGTACCTTACACTGCTCCCAATTACATACTTTCCATTTTGACGGCATCCAGCACTGGTTCTTCCCTGAGTCTCTCCGATTGCACTACCGAATGTATTCATAAACTCATAAGGTAGAACTTACAGGATGACTCGTAATTCATTGGTGATCTTGCAGTTTGTTCTGATGGCCTTACCTTTTCGGACACGACAACAGCTGAACATTTCCATTTTCAAAGTCCATCAGGTGCCCACATCCATTTGCAAGTTCTCCTCCTGGAAGAGAAGCAATTGAGCTTAAATGACGGAGTTTATAATTCTGAAATTCCCAGGAATAACCTGAACTTCGAATATTGATCAGTAAGAAAGGTTACATCACTTGCTGCTGACATTTACTGTGGTTATTTTGAAAACCAGTATTGCATTTCGTTAGGCATTACAGGGGTGGTATTCCCGATGAACAAGCACGTGCTGCTGCGTGTTTCTTATAGGTAGTGACCAGTGGAAAATGTGGAGGGCCTGAGAACCTGACCTCGCGAAGTATTTCTTAGTCTTTGGATATTTCTCTTATTATTTCTCCCTCTTACCGTCGTTGATTCTTGAGTTATCGGTGTCAAGGTTTTCTGCAGGAAGAGTGGCATTCTCAGCGGGAATACTTTTTCTGAAGGTGGTCTCGTAAAAGTTCACTGACGATAAGGAAGTGGCACTGACGAAGACCCCAGGAATATCCACCTCGTGGCAGCCATCGGCGTGGATCGACAAGTGGCCCGCTAGCTGCAAATCCATTTATTAAAGATCGCTCTTCTTTTTGAGGTGCAATATAAAATATAAAAAAAAGTGTGCCTCTGTATATTTTGGAATATCTTCATGCGACATTAAGCATGACGCAAGTATTTTTTAACATGGCATTTTAAGTCAATGATAAAGATTCCTGCCAGGTTTAACAGAATTCTATCCAACGCTTCAATTGCGAGCATGCGCACGTGATATTTTGAAAAAATCAATTTCATCAAGTACTTCTATCAATTCCTTTAAATACTTTTTTTTTAGAGGCTCGCAGTTGATTTCTATGAAAAAATTTATTCCACCGAAAACCTTAAAAGTCCTATGGCTTCTGCACTCAAAATGTCATCTGAAAAAGGAAGATTTTTGTCAAACATATGGGAGTGAACCATAACAACTCTGAGCTCTAACTAAAAATGCTTACCTTCAACATGAACCAAAGTTCTGTAACTCTTCTTGAGAACCAATTCTTCCATAGCTTTGATACTTTCATAATTCGAGTTGAGCCTGATCTGCCACTTTCACTTTTTTTTAGTCACAACACAGTTTCAGCAATTTCTTAACAACTAGATGTTTTCCCTTGTAACTCCTTAATGAATGAATCAAAATTGCAGCCTTTCATCTCACAAACCTTCCTCAAGTGTCTGTCCTCTTCCCCGAATCCCATGACGTTCTTCGTAATTTTTAAAAGTTTGAGGTCACTAAATTTTGCAATGGAGAATTTGCCTTCGGCATACAGGAAATTAGAGTAATCAAATATTAAAACACAACCTGATCATCAGTTAACTTTGATAACGGAAATTGAGTAGTATCAAAAACCAGTTTTCCCAATTTCACTGCCGCATTCCTATGGTCAGTGGTGTTGGAGCACGTGGAAGGGATGTTTGTCGAGGATCATTGAGCAAATTGTTCACTGCTATCTCCGATACGTCAACTTTCCACGGGGTGAACTTATTTTTACCTTGATAAGAATATTTCTGATTCACCGGATTCACCATTCATGTGCAAAAATGCACAAGTCTTGCATAATATCGGATGATAATATTTCGAAAAGTTAAGTTCTTAAGATCAGACGCAGTGTAATTATAAGGGAGCAATTACGAAAGGGAATCCAGAGTCAGAGTCCTTGCAAACGAGAGGAGCACCGGTTTCCCCACACCAGGTCGAGAAGAAGGAGACACAAATGGAATTCAACGGGAGGGAACTGCCTTCAGTGATTCTCTCCTCGCACATGCTGGCATAGGTGATCTTTGCTTCATATTCCACCTGTACCCGATTCACTGACGTCTCATCTGTTGCGATATGATAGCATCACATTTGACCAGCTGATGCACGAAATGAAATATCTAGGAAAACTCATAGGAGCAACTATGACCTCTGACCTCTGTGAGAAATAAGCTTGCACTGGGAGAAGCTGGGAAGATCAAGATTATGCACCCAAAGAATACATGCTCTCTCGTCTTCATTCACCGGCTCTTCGAGATTCAACACCATCAAGTCGTTGTCTAAAGTCTCTGGGCTAAAATTGTCAAGATTGAAGTAGGCGCTGATGTTATGGCGAAGGTTGCTCCCAGCTACTCCGACCGACAGCATCTCCATATTGTGCACTCTTTGAAAACGGAAATGGTTCAAACTTGACATTGCACGCATAAGAAGCTGCTTCATACATAATCTTTGGATGTATTTGAAGCGTTCCGAACAGCAAAATAAAAATGCTGAAACTTTTGGAAGAAAGGCTGAAAGTGGTTATTTTCAAATGATATAAAAAATCCAAAAGGCATTATTTTTTTTAAAGTTCTCCGTAAATGGGGCTTCATTGTCCAGTCTAACAATCCACTTTTGTCAACTTTTTTTCAGCACCCCTGCCTAAATTGTGTAATGCCCATTCATAGGTGAATTAAAGGTGCTTCGAGGTGGAGTATTCCACCTCAAGTGAGGTAACGACCTGTGCTCGAGCGTCTCAGAATGCAAGGAACTTTTCCATTTTATTTTTTAAGGGACAGCTGGATCCGGCTGGTAGATGACAGGGAGGTTCATGAGTCACGAGTCCAATAGGTTTTTTCACTTCAGCGAAATGACGCTGTATCCCGATACAGGCCGCAATTGACGACCGGGTGGCAGACGGTGATTATAGAAAACACTCCACCGTTTTCGAAGGGGAGAAATAATGATTTTTGTATTTGAGGAAAAAATATAAGATTGATACTACTTTAATATTGGTCGTATCGGAGGTGTTGAGAAGCTTGCCTTAGTTTTCCTCGGAACATTTTTTTGAACTTTGCATAGGGTAAATGAGCATAAATAATTCGTTTTTCCCTTTGGGAACGGTGGAGCTTCGTTGTATTCCCCTTCGTTCATCCGGTCAACAACAGCATCCTCTATCGAGATACAGCGCCATCTTGTGGAAGTGAAAAAAAAGTTCAGACTCGTGAACCTCTCCGTCATGTATCAGCTGGATCCAACTGTTAAGATGTATATTCAGTGAAGGTGAACCATATTTCCCTATGTTCTCAGAAAATTGCAAGTGAACTGCCTGACAATTTCAATATGCATGCCTCCATGAACATTCCTTTAGCACCTGCATCTCCGAACGAATTTGGTTGAAAACTCCCGTCCCTTCAAACTGAAAGTGATGAGGAAGAAATCAAATGGGATGAATGGAGTTAGAGGGAAGCCTTTCCATCCAAGCATCTGGAACTACACTCTTAGCCATGTTGCTTTGAAAATGGAGTAAAAAAATCTTGTAATTTTTTACTCTTGAATAGGTGTAACCTAAGGAGAAACATGAGTACAAAATTGCATATAAAATGTTAGAAACTTGGAATTGAAAAAATTGTTTGTCCTGGTTTGTTCGTTAAAATGAATATTAAGTCCTGAACTTCATCAAAATTTCCGAGAATTGGTACATCAACAGTAACATTAGCATCAGAATCCAGTTCTTAGAAATTTGCCCCCAAAGATGTTAATGGAGTTCAAAAGGTTGTTTTCTCTTTACATGAACACACCAGTGCATAAAACAATTTAATCCCAGGTTTTTAGGCTTTTATTTGCGATTTCCCACTGTTACTCTGTAGGTTACTCCTCTTCAAGAGTAACAAATTACAAGATTTTGTTACCCCATTTTCAGAGTAACTACTCAATTTAGGGCTTTCATGCCCTGTTCGAGCATGGTATTGCAGGTACTCGTAGTTGGCACTTGTACTATTACAGCTGAAAAGCTGCACTTTGTGAGTTACTCACTTTCTCACTCGGTGTTTAGTTATTCATATCGTATCGCTTTGATTTCGTGAAAAAATTACAACTCCAGTAGACCCGGAAAGCCGGGGTAAATCATAATCTGCAGTAGCATGGAATTATATTTCCTTTCACAGCGAATTGAGCTTCCATCTCGAAACAACTGAATTCTGATAATAAATAACAATTTAAAAAAGCGAAGAAGCAGGTCTACTCGTCAAACATGAAGCAGGAAGCTGTCGTAGAGACGTATTTCCGTTCGACAAGTGCCCCACCGCAGACGATGTGCCCAGTGGAGTTCATGATGACTGCATCCCAGTGGTATATTTGTTGACCCGACGCATTGTCCGTGATGTTTTTATCAGCACAACACGCTTCTTTCGTCAGCCACGACTTCGGGGTACCTATTCTCAAAGTAAATCAACAGAAATAGAAAGAAACAGCGAAATATTATGTTGGTAGAGAATGTAGAGAATCGAAAGACACCACATCAAGTATTTAAACTAGTACGAAGTTGATTTTAAAGAAATGAACCTAATATAGTTTGTTTCTTTCCTTGATTCTTCACGCTTTCAGATCCGTCTTTTTTGATTGGGCTTCATATTAAGGTTCAAGGGCTTATGAATGAAATCTATAAGAGCAAAGCTGCTGGCAGATCTGAACTGCTCCAAGCAGACATAATATGTTTAGTTATTCATAATCAGCAACAAGCATGTAAATAGCGAAATTCCTTCTGACAAAAAGCATATTAACACTTCATGAAGTGAAACTTTTCGCTTTTGGAAGCAGAACTGTCGACTAAGTGAACTTGGCCAAGGCATATAGCAAATTAGTGAAAGAAATGAGAGGAAATCAGCATTACGTTAAGGAGCCACCACGGTCAACCACTAAAAACAGTGTTATAATGCATTATAAGTGAGTTTACTTATATAAATACACAGCCGACATGTCAAAACTTGCATTCATGGACTTATGTACATCTCGTTGCCATGGTAACCTATTTTAATCATTACAATTTCTGGAATTTGTGGGATACCTTCTTGACAGACTATATAATAGAACATTGATTTTTATTGTATATTCCTTTACATGAGAACTATTTCTCTGTAATCTGGTGGGATTTCCTTCATATTTACGACAGTTTTCATTCCACAAATATGTCAATAACTTTTTGAGAATTTCGATATTACTATATTATGATTGTTTGAGAAATCTGACTACATCATGATTATAGAAAAATGGCTACGACATTGCATTTAGTACCGTATCACAACGATGAACGCCAAATTTCATTGTAATCAAACAAGAAATGAGGAACTTATGGATGTCAGAGGATTTTAAAATAGTTATGTAATGTTGAATATTTAATTCTATGAAAAGCCTTAATCCAAGATCGGATTGACCTAATTAGATTTAAATTATGAAGACTTACTGAAGTGAAGACTTCTCCGAACCGGAGAGTTTTGGTTATCATCAGGAAATAATTGTGTTTCCAAAGATAAAATTAATATTTTATCAAAAGTTACATTTTTTTTTTACCGCGATGCCTCCTAAAGTCATACCTGGATTTGACGCCAGTTCCTGGTACTTTTTCTCGATGCTTGTCTTCAAGGCGCAGCAAAGAAAGTTCTTTTGGCAGTGAAAGAGAATTGAAAAATCCCTTTGTCCGCCAGTCCGACATCGATGCCGCATATATTTTGCCATGCATCTACCTATAGGATTCTCACATTTGGGGGTGCCTGAAGCGTTTAACACTGACCCTTTCTTCAACTGGCAGCAATATTCTTCTCTCTCGTTGCAGTTTGTCCGATTTTTAACTGTATCGTGTAGACAGGACAGTAGGTCTGATTTAGATACACATTGCTGATCACAATGCGCCAGAGTCGATTGAGTGCTTATGGGGCGTGGAATGTTGCTCTGGCAACATACTTCATCACCAGGGCATGACGCGTATGAGACCTCGGTTTTTGGTTCACACTGGCTTTTAAGTGACTGTGGCAAACAGAGAAGAGGACATTCATCTTTCTCTTCACCTCCTGGAAAGAAGAGGAAAATATAATTTTATCGTCCAAGGGCTGACAAAGAAATATTTACGTTGCACTAATTCTTATACTCTCACAAATGGAATGGAAATGTTCATTGGAATCGTCTTAAGTACAGGTTGATAATTCAAAATGTTAAATCTACGAGGTCTGATCAAAAAGTATCCAACTCGAGTTCGAGAGTTTGGATGAACAGAAACGCCATATTATACCGATTTCGAGTATTGCATTGAGAACCCGGACATCTGGATCTGCAACGTACACGTGTGTACGTCTGGACTACATATGCGGACCCGAGGGATACAATATCGGGTTGAGCAAAAAAATATCGCCGTGTTCGGCGCATTTTAAAACTCGCTGTGGATGATCTAGGTTTGTGATGTTTTCGCATCATGATGTAACAAGCATTTCTTTGAATGTTTTATGTGCTTAGATTATCGGAATAAAAATTGACAGTCGTTCAAATTGGAGTATTAAAATGTACCTTTCCCGTGCATGAAGTGGAAGGAGTTTCAGCACTGCTTCAATGACTTCTTTCATTCGTCGCAATGAAGACAGCCTTCTACACCATCTCCTTGTATTATTCTACACTTCTTAGAATAGTGCTAATATTATATATCATAGCATCAGAGTCAATACTTCGATGAGAATTGGCATAAAAAGATGCATTGATTATGTGTCAAGGGAGAGAAACCATTCGAACAGTGCTGCAACTCCATCCATCTCATGCGCAGAAAAGGTACCAATATATGACTCCACTTTGAACGACTGTTAATTTTTCTTCTGACAACCTAGGAACATGAAACTTTCGGAGAACAAATTTTGCGATATTTGCAATTTGATACAAAAACATCACGAACTCAGATCAACGACAACGGGTTTAATAAAGCGTCTAACAGGACTCTTTTTTCTGCACCACCAAATATATACCTCTAGCATTTGTACCACTTCTTGTAAGTTTCTACTTTGCTGTGAAGCTTACTCGTCGGGTTCTGTCGCAGTATGGCTACTTCCTGGTCTCCCAGTTGAGGGAGAACTGTCGTCGACAACGGTCTGAAGATGCTGGTTTTTATCTAAAAAGCTTACAAGAAATTGCTTTCCAACATAGCCAAAGAAAGGAAACATTTTACCTTACACGGTTTGTAGTGATGCCATGAGAAAGAAGAGCACGAGCTCCGTGGCGAAAGCACAGAGAACGCATGATTCTTAAAATCATCTATAGAAAATTTTATCAGATTATGTTATGAAACAAATTACCTATGAACCAATACTCAAGGCTTTTCGGTTGATCCACTCATGATGCATACAACGGGTGGAAAAACTATCACATCACATAAAAATATGTTAACAATTCACATCGAATTCATAAGCATGCATTAATGTAGAGACGAAACATCATAATAATTGGTATCCAACACCCTTGAAAAACTGTTCTTGTACGGCCATGTTTTGTCATGATGTTATGAAAACTTTTCACAAAAAAGGAATATTCTTGAAAATGAACATTAGTTCTTCACTTGATTTGCTTATTTCACAAAAAGGTCTGAAATTCCATTTTTTCCACTTGATTTTGAATTATCGCTGAATTTTCCCCGTTAAATCTGAAGTTCTTAAAAAAGTAAATTACAAGTGAGACGTGAACACTCTGGCTAAATAACTAGCAGTATCATTTAAAGCAATAACATATTCTTAGAAAACACAATTAAGCATTATATCGTGGAAAACGTATGAGCATTACATTGCCAAGCTTAAATTATGTGGGAAAATTCAGAGCGGTTGGATTACATTCGTTCCCCACTGAGCTCATTGAGAGCTACCGCAAGAACATTGCGAAATTCCTTGACTTCTCGAATGAGAGTTTGCAATAAATGTTGAAATTCGCAACTAATTGAGACCTGTCATTAAAGCCTTTCTTGGATCTTCCAACTGGCAACACAATTCCTCGGATGTACAGTCTCTTGAGGGAATCAATGTCCCTGGCCTGCAGAGGGGCCTTTTATGAGCTCTGACACACTCGTGAGGACATTGGGGACAATTATTCAAGGCATCCTGAGCATTCAATGCCGTCCCTTTCGCACAGGAGCCACGAACAATTCTAATCAGATGTGGAGCAGAGGCTAGCCAAACCAATGGGCAGTCACACTCGATGGGATTGTCTGGAACACAGAAATGAAATGAAAAACGATATGATGAAAAGACGGGGAGATATTTTGAAGGTTGTGCAGCATTTCGTAAACACATGGACCTCACCTTTTAGGTGAAGAGACCCGGTTCCATTTGAAAGAACTTCAAGAATGGGGAGAAAGGTTTCCCGGTTCAGGTTGGAGATCTTGTTTTCGTTTAGATAAACTTCTGTGTTGAACTGTAGACCTGAAAAAAAAATGCAGGAAAGGATCACCAGGTCCAACCTCACGAAATATTATGATACCTTTTGGTTGGTGAATAAGTTTAATACAGTTGTTTGAGAAAATGCAACACCTCCCTGTACGTCTCGAATAATGCGTTTATTCGTTAGGAAAATTCTCATCAAATGGATATTTTGCATAGGTTTAGCTAGGAGCGACCCATCCAGGGAATTTAGCTCTAAAAGTTATGCAAGTAATTTGTTTTTCGTCTTGGGTTATTGGCCAATCTTCACTCCCTTTTCGAGGGTGGACAGGGAAGGGTCAGAAGATAGAGAAGCAGAGAGGCCCTTAAAAAGTCAGAGTTTCTGAGCTCCAGCAAAGCTGAAGGAGACTTTGATATACAAGGTAGGTCCAAAAAGTTTCCAGACAGTGTTCATTGCACGCGAATGGTGAGCGTCACGGCACTGATGCTATGTCACCTTTAAAGAAGTGGCCATGGCTTTCGGCACACTTTTGCCAACGTCTGTAAAGTTCCTCGAAACAGGCCTGGAACTTTCATCGACCCCGTTAAGTGCCGCCACCGTAGCCAAAAAAGGGTAAATGCTTTTTCTGCAGGGAAATGTGACCCGAGAAAGTTGTAAAAAAAAAAAGATTCACCTAGCATCGTTTGCCTTCATTTCATTTTCCGGCACTAAACTATATATTGTATTGAAGAAAAAAAAGCACAATTTTAGTAGCAGATATCCGTAGTCTCCGAACGGCGGATCACTCGGTACCCAGTCCCGGAGATACTTGAACATTACCTGTTCCAGTATCGTCTGAGTTACAAAAGAATGGACTCTCTGGAGTGGACCAATAATTGTACAAAAAGTACAATAATTTATTTCTAAGCTGGATATGCTTTCATGATGAATGCAAAAGTAAGGAAAGTCTGTGTTCAGGGAATTGCTTTCACTTTTCTCTAAAACTCTGAGAATTTAAGGTTATTGATCGAAACAGGGCGTTATGGATAGTTCATGTATGACATTTTGGTATAAGTCGACTTCTCGTCGACTTATTCACTGCTGCTATAATCCTACCTGTGATGGCTCTAGGCTCCAATCTGGAGATATTGTTACCAAAGAGTGACACCACCTTCAATGCCTGGCTGCGGAATTCCAAACGCCCTCTCCAGAGGGTGGGACCCAGACCACAGCCAGAACAGTCGAACCTCTCCAGTTTCCCCAACCGCCTGATCATTGCAGAGGGAAACTCCGACAGAGGATTGTGAGCTGAGTGAAAAGTGAAACGGACTCAGGAAGCAGTCACCTGCTCTAACTTGTCTCACTGAGAGAAAATAGCATGCAAATAAGTAAAAGTAAGTAAGTCTAGTAACGTAAGTCTAGCGCCAAGCGTACTACCGTTTTGTTATTTTCTTCCGAGGACAATGAAATGTCCCCTATCGAAAGAATCACCAGCACTTAATTTTCAAGGAAGAAAAGTGAGGACGTGTTCTTTCAGGCGAGACATTACAGCTACAGAGAGAGCTGATCAAGGCAATCAAACACGAAGTTATGAGCACCTCAATCGAATACATAGGAAAGTTATTATTAATGTATCTCATTACTTAATCGCTAACTACTCAGCTCTTAAAGTCAATCCGTGATGCCAGCCAACATATTTAGGTTGTGCTTAGTGGATGCCCCACATTACATTGGCAAGCATGCTTTCCTGCACCTTTAAACCAACGTCATTTCATGCTGTAAAGTTCTTTTTTTTTTTACTTGCTGGCTGCGTTATCGACACTGACTTCGACGATCAGCAATAGACAGGCATGGTAATTTTTCATTTTTTCCGTAAGTTTAGCTCTTCTTTCATCTTAATAACTCTTTTTAAGAAGTAAGTGTTAACGAATTTATGAATATAAGAATCCCTTGTTGACATACAAGTTGGGAGAAGGAAATTTTTTTTTTCCTTCTGTAACAAAATTGCAAATTCGCTTTTCAAAGGTCAAAATATTCCGAAGGAGACATACACTACACCTGGATGGTGAGAAAACGATCAAAAGGCAGTTAGAATTCTAAAAAACAAAGAGGTAACTCGACAATTGTCGCTAATAAAATGCACTCACTCATGGAAAGGAGTTTCAAGTTGGGTGTGTCCCATCCGTCTCCATTGACGCTTGCGATTTTATTGTTGGAAATGAAGAAGATCTCAAGGCTGGCACTCCGAACTGTCGGGACCGATTTTAATAAATTGTTACGGAGGGAAAGTTTCTTGAGTCGGGAAAATCTTTCAAGAACATGAAAGGGGAAATCCTCCAGGTAGCTGTCAGAAATGTCCATCCATTCGAGCCGATCCTTCGAAGGGAGAATGGCAGTCTCATTGATTCTCCGCAAGGCAGTGTCTTCAATCCAAATTTTCTTGAAAGAGACATCTCCGAAGACTCCATATGGGAGCTCCTTCACCGCTGTGTTATTTTTCAGCTCGAATTTCCTGCAGGGCGAATTGCAACTAAGGTAATAAATCTATTTTTTGATATTACTGGTGTAATCAAAGATTCCATAGGATGTATTTGAACATTAGCCGGCATATACATACTTCATGATATTACGGCAGCATCAGAGATGTCAGTATTAAGTGATAATATTGTACCACTGCTACATGAAACAATAACTGCTGGAAATTATTTGGGAAGAGGGAGAATATTTATTACAACAGGAGGGTTTGTCCACGGTTTCGGATATGACATCCGGAGTAATATTTTTAGTACACAAAATGTATGTAACTATATTATAGATGACGAATTAGCTTCATAAAGGCGGTAACAAAACGCTTTTGGTTGCGACTTAAAATTCCATAATCCAAAGTCTTGCACTCCCTTTTGTTAGAGGTGCATCTGTGTGGAAAGAAAAGTGTCAGACGTGAAATTTTGTAAACCTGAATTTGAAGTCACTTGCACTAATGTTCGTACCTGTCATCGAGCAGCTCCTAATACTTTAGTGTCATGTTCATTCTATAGATTGCATGAAAGCCTAGAATTAGTGCAAGTCACCCCAAGTTGAAAACTTGAGACAGAAAGTAAGCCTATTTTGTGACGGTGTCGGATGTGCCTGGTTCTGAAAATGAATTTTCAACGAGAAGTCAGTACGTATAGTCTGTACGAAGTCAGTACGTATATAGTGTAAGTCAGTAGTGTAAGTCAGTACGTATATATTAATTTTATTTTAAAGATATCATTCAAATGCGCACAATTGACATCTACACCTCACGCTTAAGCTGACTTGAAACTATCAATATGAATGGAAAGCGCATTCTGGCATATGTTCCAGTAGTCTAATTCAGTCTCTCCAGATTTGCATTATCATCACATTTTTCAGTATCGTGAGAGCGGGATGAATAATATATAATAATCATTATTAATTATTTTATTTTATTTTGTAACCTTCTCTTTCATTCATGTATTCTGGGAGAATAGTTGATGAACTTCTGAAGTGAAAGTAATGTTGGCATCTTTAGAAAAATTTTCGGCTAAATTCTAGGACCACTTGGCGTGGAGAGACCCAGGACTCACCAAAGAGTAGCAGAGTATCTTTTGATATTGATGAATGCAGATGAGATCCTTTCGCCAGTTTCAGCTTGGGAACAACTAATTTCGACCCCATATGAAAAATTGCGGCAAATGCAGGGTCTTATGTTATTGATGGAACATGCCTGCTCGGTCACTACGGAAAATAAGGAAAGGAGAAAGGGGAATATGAAGATGAATGCTGGGAGCAACATGGTCATTTTTTAAAGGGAATGCCACAGGACCCCCTCAGGTTCCTGTCATCTGAGATGACGACACGGGATCTGCACGAGCTCCAAAAGCCTGTTCGGAAGAAAAGGGAATTCGCATGTATGACACTGAAAGAAACCCAACTGAAGATGATGTCATGCCGAAAACCGAGTTGCTCCTGAACTCAGGAAATGCTATTCTGCAAGAAACGAGGCGATATATTGTGGTTTGCTTCCTATGGAGGGGAAACGACCCTGAAATCTATATAATAAAATCATTGTGGCCCGTGGTGGTGGCTACGGTGGTGGTCGGATACGTGTCATGCGCGCTCATACACATGATATACGCCTGCGCTTTGTGCGATCGCGTCTGCTTTCCCTATTGAGTCGTATTTTGCCTGCCTCTGGGTGTACGTCTCCCTCTCTCGGGCTCGAATTTTTTTCGGCCCTTGCGACTGTCGAATCTATTCTCGAGAACGTAATAGACCGGGCCGGGGGATCAGAGTTCTGATGACGTAAGAGTACAAAAAGAAGTGTTGGAGGGTGCCAGAATAGAACCCAAGGCCACTTGACTGTGAGTCAGGTGCGCTACAACTACACCAACAAACCCACACATGTACATTGTTCCATTGTAACATTATAATGGAAGAGACAGGCGTTCTATGCATACCCCCATTCCTTCCTAAGGCAGGTATCATACGGACTGTTCCTCAGGGACGTGTAAACCTTCCCAGAGTATTACACTTGGAGTCCCCTTTCATCCATGGAGGAAGGATGACTTCTTCACGTGGATGGGGGCTGCGGCCATATATTTTTCGGGATTCCAACCCCTTCATCGATCGGAATCCCTTCCTATTATTGATCGACCCTCTCCACTCTATGGCTCTCCCCACCGAGCTAAGGAAAAGATTTGCAGGAGGCGCACAATAGAATTGATTTGCTGCAATTAGAAGCCATCTTAGTAGGGATCATAGCGGCTCTTCTCCATTCCCTAAAATGGGATTTTCATATTTTCCCTTCCTAGTCTCCTTGCTTCCGTGAACATGATGGAAGGCGGTCATGGTACTGGATACCTAAAAATTCGGGGGGGGGGGGGGTTTCATAGGCCTGATACCGTAAGGTCGAAACTCTTCTTCTTACATGGGTGCAAGTCCCCAATTTCTCTTGTGGGCCTCAAGTTCCAGGTCTGCCTTAGCTGAGATTGCTGGGCATACGAAGGTGATACCGTCAGGCCCCCGTTGAATCAGCACAGTCGACCTATTTTCCACTCGGTCTAAGGCATCAAGTCAAGGGAACTTTAGTTCGTTTGACGAAGTGAATGTTGAAAGGTAAACATTGGCTAAAGAAGACTAAGGGCGAACACGTGGTGTATGGTAGAGGTGTTAGCGGGTCTCGGCAGGGCATGCTTCCGCATTCAGTAGGACTACTCCAATAATCCCGCGGTATCTGCTCCTTTGCTTCGACAATGCGCACCGCAGGCCCGTTTCAAGATCTATGAATCACTTCGCAAGGGAATCGCGGCATTTTTGCTAAAACCTATTCCCAATCGCTCTTTACGGACATTAGGCTGAACTGAAATATTGGACCCGTATGCATGACAAAAAGGAACGAGTCAATATCTACTTCATTTATTCTCTGAAGGAACATTTGCCTTAAGAAAAATTATGTAGTTTCTTTGCCGAATTCTGGCTAAATCTGGCTCGAACTTGATATTGAAGAGAATCTTTTCTGCCTGCCAGTTTTAACCATTAGATCAGGGATGCAGTAAGGAATTCAGTTTTGAAAGCACCACTTGTAAAAGTCCTGAGTGGCATGAATGATAAATTGAATGTTTACCCGACTGTGCCAGCCTAATTGCTTACATCTCCCTGATTTTTTGTATCCCTTCTTCCCTCGTGAAAATCTCATCTGGGCCAAGAAAGGGTCACTTTTAATCCAAAAAGAAGAGGAAGTAGCTCGTTTCTTGAAATCAAATCCTCAAGCCCTTATTTTTGTCTCCTCAAAATGTGACTCGCACCCACAGCCTGGGGGCAATGTCGTTGGCGTCCTGCGCAGGCATTTCATCTCGAGAACCAAAACACTCAAAATGCGACTTCTCACTAAACGCTTCCAAGTCCGCCTTCGTGGTCCTTCTTATTTCTCAGTTCAGTCTCATGCAGGGCTGTGACAGGCTTTGACTATAGATAGTAATAACAAATGAGATCCCAATAAGGGTCCATGCCGTTTGGTCCTTTCTGGATCTTGACGGGCTATATTTCTTTCAAGGTGGAACAAATGGATGTCTCCCTTATGAAGACGATACCAATTTTTTGCCTGAAGAAGTTCAGAAAATCTTTTCATGAAGTCGCAACTATGGCTTTTCATTTGGTTGAAATTATGAACGGACGAAGGTGACTGAACCAGCATGAATGAAAGGAAGAGTCACTAGTAACTCTAAGAGGGGAAGGACATCCTAACATGTTTGAACCTTAGGAAGGAGGAGA